AGGTTTTGATACAAATAATGTATTTAAATGACTAAGGTCCTTGAATCCCTCCCAAAGCTTAGGTCTTGATGGTATTTCTAGTATTATATTTAGAAAATGTGCAGATATTGCATGTCATCCACTTACAGATATCTTCAAAGTATCGTTTTCTAAAACATAATACTCACTGCATGGAAGCAGATAAAAATTGTACCTGTGTCTAAGCCACCTTCTGGATCAGATGTTACTTCTCGACCCATAGCTATAACTTCCCCTTTTCTGAAGATAATGGAGAACTTACTTCTCCTTGTATTTGAGCCTTCATTGATGACTCTCAGAGATCCGAAACAGTTTGCTTACAAACACTGGAGGAGTACTTTAGATGCAGCTACTGTCTTGCATCATAACATTGTTTCTAGTCTCGACAAAGGTGTTAAGTATGTCCTTTGTGCCTTTTTGGATTACTCATCAGCCTTTGACTCTGTTCCTAGACCACTTTTGTTAAATAGGCTTGCCATAGCTTACACTGATCCATGGGTTACAAATTGGCTGCATTCTTATTTTTCTGAAAAGAAACAGTGCACTATCCATAAAGGGATGCCCTCGACTTGATTGCTCACTGAAGCTGGTGTGCCTCAAGGTGCTGTACTTTCTTCTTTTCTGTTTCCGTTTCTTTGCACGATTTGCCTTATTCTGTTGAAAGTAATTTCATCAAGTATGCTGATGACCTGACGGTTTTAATTTCAGTCAACCATTCCTTGGATTGCTCTAAATTAAATGAATTCTTGTCTGAAGTTGGCAAATGGTCTCTCTCAAATGGTCTCAAACTAAACCCTTCTAAATGTCAGACTGTTAATTCAGCCTCTGGCGAAAACAAGACTTATGTGAGCTGCTTAAATCTCATGATGCCTACTGCATGAATGGTATTTCTACAGAAAGTAAATCGAGTGTGAACTATCTTGGGTTGGGTTTTACTTCTGACCTTGCTGGTCGTCCCACATTTTGTTAACTTGTAGAAAAATCTTTCGTTTAACTTAATACATAAAGAAACTAAGGCTTTCTGGTACAACTGCTTCTTTTAAAATTTATTAATTCCTGCATTTTACCTATTCTTCTATATTGTTCCCCATTAATCTTTCCTGGTCTTCTAAAAAGGAACTATGTTATGTTGCGTAGGACTTTGAAGACCGTCAGCAGGGTGAGTGGTGTGTCTCTGGCTCAACTGATTAACACTATGGTTGATAAACATATAAATTCCTGCAAGCAACTAGCTACAGAAATTTTAACTGACAGTGAACATCCACTCCATTTACAGCTCTCTCCATGTATCTCCTCAGGGAGGACAAGGAGAAACTACATAAGACTGTATGCTCGTACAGCTGAGTATAAAAATTCCACTGTACTTTATCTTGCACGTATATTTTGTGAGGAAAAAGGCGTTAGAACAGAAATCATGCATCACCTTTGTGACAGTTAAAAATCTTATTTCAATAATTTAACTTACAATGCAAAATTTTCTCGTTTTAATATTCTTCACATAACTTGAACTTTCATAATAAAACAATTCAAAAGGCTGTATAAACTTATATTTCGTTGTTATTGCAATATATATTACGCTGAGAATTCCAACTTGTACCACAAATTGTTTGGAATAAAGTAAATTGTTATTATTAAGAAAATTTCTGTCTTGAGAACTATAGTCTTGCTAACTAAGCCTAAAATGATATTAGTTATTGAATCGTGGTGTCCCGCCTCAGTCCTCGATGTAGACTTGTGCATAGATGGTTATACTCTCTTTCACACTAACCGAGATCATAAGCGTGGAGGAGGTTGTTTGATTTATATATGTAGCCTTGTCACAGCTAATAAGATTGAAGATGGTGCAATGAATGCTCTGCCTGACTCAATAAGCGTTATTGTAAACAAATAAATAAATAAATTTTATTCTCACAATAGTAATTGACGTGAGAAAAGCCAGTTTACAGGCACCATCACATCGATATATTTCGAAAAATCTACAAGATTTTACGGGTCCTGAATAGCACAGAGGGGAGGTCTTTTAACCCCATCAAAAACATCAGATCGCGGTCACGGGACAAAGAAAATACCACTTTCAGCATATGCAGTGCGTCAAAGTGAATATTATAAATATTCCCATTCCCATATAATGGATTTAACACGACAGATACCAGTTCACAAGCACCGCAAAATGATTTTGAAAGTTTACAGAATAATGCCGGGAACTACTATACTCACTCACACTGATATGCATAAGCTTAGTAAAATTTGCTGCAAATCAGAGAGACGGGTATGGAATTCCATCTGTCATTACACAGATAGGTTCCACTTTCAACGACAAGAGCGCGCAATATTCGAAGTGTGCGTTATAACTAGACGACCTTAGTCCACTTGCATAGTTTCTTATTTAGTAATATAAACATCCATTCACTAGTAAGTTCTTCAGTT